CAGCGTGTCTTTTGCTTTGTGTTTATGATGGAGATGAAGAAGTCTTTCTTTGTGAAGCCTGACAATTAACCTAAGATCCTACGTCTGTAGAATAAGTAATTCTTGACCACTCGGTTACAGTGACTTGGGTTGAGATGCAATTTAACCCAGGTCAGGTATGACAGATTGCAGAGCTGGTTGCTTGGTCATTCAGTTGTACTCTACACTTTCCTAAAGAGACCTACTGACTTTTGTATAGGATCATGGATTTAAAGCTAAAAGAGGGCCCGAAGGCCATCCCAGTCCACTCCTCTCACTGTATAGAGGAAACTGAGGCCCACAGTGTCACACTGATAGTAAACATCTGAACCTAGGTCTGCTGATTTCAAGGCCAGTTCTTTTTCCACCTGCCCAAAGGAGTAAAATTTGGAAAGGAGACTTGGACCCTAGCTTCTCAGACTCCAAAGTATATGCTGTTTCTACTCTATTCTTAGTGTAACCATCATTTTTACATAATCATTTCCTACTAATTATATACCTGAGACTTACTGAAAATAAATAACACGCAAGAAAAAAAATGTTAGAGGGGGCAGTGACTTTTGTCAAGGTGGAAAAACATGTTTCATCTAAGCAGGACAATAGAACTTTCATAACTCTAGTTCACTATGGGGGTGAAGCCAGGTGCTCATCAAAATCACTGCTATGAATTAAATACTTTCAGGTCTCTAATTTGGTTAGACACAATTTGCTGGAATGCGATTTTCCCACTGGCTCAATTTAGCCTAGGTCTGATAAGCCTGAACCCTACAAATTAGCTATTGGCCCACTGGGCTGTCAAGGGTGAAGAGAAGTAATGATAGCCCTTTTTAGTAATTCCCATTTTGGGAAGGTCAAGGCTATCTCCAATGCAGGCAATCTCTTAAAATCGTGGCAATGATGTGCATTTGAGAAGGATCCAGACAAACCATCAATTTTCTCCAAGTCTTCTCTTATGTTAGTAACTTGAATGCAAATTGTAGGAAGCTCAGTAGTTAGCCAATAAAAAGTGGGTTATAAAAGGTGATCAAAGTGGTGAACAGTCTAGGCCAGACTTGGGTGTGTTTATATGTCAAAGTATCTGAAAGGCTGTCACATGGAAAGAGGAACTGCCAGACTTGGAATCAGGAAGACCTGGGTTCAAATCCCACTTGACTCTTACTGTGTGGGCCACCTCACCTAAGGCTAAAGGGAATAATACCTGCAATGCTTACATCGTAGCATTGTTGGAAATCACTATATTAATGTCGGGCTCTTCTTGCTTGGACCCCAAGGTCCAATTAAGCAAAAAATCCCCTAAGAATTAGGCCTATCCATAAATAAGAGGTGAGCTGCCTCAAGAAATGTCTTCCTTGGAGGGCACCAAGGGGGAAGGGTGAATAACGTGCATGCATCATCACAGGTTTAGAGCTGGAAGAGAGCTTAGAGATCATTCAGTTTAATCCCTTCATTTTATAGATAAGGAAAACGAGGCCCAGGAAGATTGCGTTTTGCCTCAGTCTGAACAAGTACTAAGTGGCAGAAGCAGGATCAGAACCAGGGTCTCTAACCCTGAATTTGGCTCTTGGAGTGGGGAGCCTAGCAGATGAAGCTGAACTGGGGGAGGAGGGGGCATCTCTGAGGTTCCTTTCAAACACTTGAGATTCTGAGTGACGCACACTTGGCTTAAGTTTTCATGGCTTCACATTGCAAAGCTTGACGTGTGTTTGGTGACATAAAAGCTGAAATGACTAACTGGACAACAGTGGTCTAGGTGAATGTCTAGAAAATGTCAACCAAAATTTTAGGATCACAGCATGCATCTTTCCCACATCAATAATCTGTATGCCCTTTTACTGGGGAGTAAGAGGCATGCACCTTAGCAGATGAAGACCATCAGCATCTTAACTGGTAGGCTTTTCTTTTCTTCTTTTTTTTTTTTGAAAGAGAACGATATTTTGTTTCATGTCTGGCACAAATTATCTCAGTTAAAACCCCTGGAGCCCACACACATAACCTAGTAAACTTTAAAATTTTATTGAAGTTTTATGGATAAATTTTTTGCAACAAGCATTTCTTGGTCATGCCTTGACCCTCACACCCTTCCCCTGGTAACACAAACTAAGCAAAACTAAGACACACAACTCTGGGAGGAAAGTTGTTTTCAAGGAACATGTTCCTTATACGTTATCTGAATCTGGCTGCTTTTTAATGCTTTTCTTTACATATCCTAGTAAAGTTATAGCTAATTTGTACTATGGAAGGAACCCGAGGTGTGAAAATCCCAGAGTAGGTTCTTACACCCTCCCCACCCCGTCACGTGCACTAGATCATTTTAGTAGTTGCTGTACTTACATTTGGATATGTGTATCAGAGTTTGGTCTTCTTGGAATTCACTTCAAGTAAAACAGCAAGCTAATCTTTTGATGAACCCATTCAAGAGGGACTCTTGAGGCTGACCAGCTTCCCCATTATGGCCTCTGTTCAACTTTATGGTTGGAAGACACATCGTCACCAATCAGAATGGTGCAAATGCTAGTCTAGATAGAGCTCCCCTTTGGTTTTCCTTGGTTAAGAACTCACATGGCAAGGGAGAGGGAGTTAAAGTGTTTAGGCTCTAAAGATCTTCCAGGATGAGCTACAGATTGCCTGTGAAGTGAGTTCGGAGAGGGGATCTAGCTACCAATAAAGCTAAAGTTAGCACTGTACGTGTCACTAAAACCTTAAACGTTAAGGTTTTAAGCTGTAACTGAGGCAGCTTCTAGAATGTGGAAGCGCATTGGCACAGATCATCAAAATTCGTGCCTATTATTCAGTAGGTTCTGAGTGAGTCTGATTTCCTCCAACTGTAGGAGTTTGCTGGAGGGAATGGTCCAGGCTGCACCCTGGAGGATTTCCCCACGACCTGGGACCAGCTGGATGGGGCCTCCTAGTACCAGCACTTGCTAAGGCAGCTCAGTGATCAGATGCTGTCCTCTTGCCAAAGGCCCCTTTTTCTTTGGCCAGGGAATTTACTTCCTGAACCTGAAGAGCAACACAGCAGTTGGACAGGAACAATTAAAAATACAGCTCATTTACTGTATACACACAAGACCTGATTTTGGATATACTTTCTTACTGTACTGGTGAAGGAGAAATATTTGTAATCTGGTATTGAACTCTATCCTGCTGAGAAAGCTACTGATGTACCTAGCAGTGTTTATTTTGTTTGCAGAATTTCTTCAGTTTCTCTGTTCCTAATACTTCCTATTTTAAGCATAATTTGCAAAAGGAAATGCAATATACAAAACATAAGACAATTTTTACTGAAAATAAAGTCATCAGTAAAAGCTGATGTAGACATAAGTCAGATTTCTTAAATGAATGTAAGAAAGAAAATAAAACCACTGAAACCCATCACCACTGCTTAATTTTATTGCAACGAAGAAACTTTAATATAGTAATTGTCTGAGTACTATGTCACTAAATATAAATTATTCCAATTATTAAAGTTGTCCAAACAGAGACAGGCATTGTGTTTGGAAATTAGAATTCCAAAATCAGTGGGAGGGAAAAGGAAAAAAAAACCCAATATATTAAATACATTGATTTTAGGATTACTTGCACAATAAGCATATTCATTACTGTCTTGAGTGTCTTCACTATCTGGATCCTCCCTTGTTTTAAAGCTCAATTCTAAATACATCGCTGGCACCCATTCCAAAATAAACTCAAATTTTCTGTTGACTCATTTTTTCTACTTAGGGCTTTATAGCTAGAGGTTGTATTTTTAAAACCCATTACTCCAACTTTCAAGTTGCAGAGACTAAGGGAAGTAATCTTTCATGGTAACAGAGCAAGGTTATTTATTTTTTTGGCCCATAAGGATAATCACCTACTCTTCAGCAGGGTACAATATTGACAGCCCTTTGATCTTCAAGTACTCACTCCTTTAAAATATATCCTCTTTGAACAGGAATAGAGACACTGAGCTGCAATCCCAAAAAGCACTTTCTATGGTTGATCTGCAAAGACTGTTTTCCAGTGGTAAAGTTTACTATAAGAATCCACAAACACTAACAAAGTTCAAATTTTCCTAGCTGCTACTCCCCAAGTGGTTTTTGAAGACTAGACACAACACAGATATTACAAATAGCTACAGGACAAAGTTACAGTTTGAAGTGCCTGTGTATTTATTAGGGATAAGGATTACTTAATAATTTGTAATTTCTGAGAAATAGCATATTAGTATCATTTTTATACCCACATACAGATTACTGATGTTAGTGCCTACCTCAGAACTAGACAAAATCTGAGGTACGTAAGTAGAATGTTACCTAATTCTTATTGCCAATGATTAATCTGGGAATTATCAGAAGCAAGACAGAACTGTTGCTTGTGTTTTAGAGTAATTATCAGAGTTGTGGCCAATTTGGGAGAGAGTATTGGGCAGCTGAAATTGTACCTAACTAAAGAAGTGAGAAACTGAGCTCCATAAAAGTCAACAGTAAGAAAACACTCAGGCACTAAAATCAATCAATATTTGCCAGGGGGAACGTTCTTAAGATAACTGACAGCAGCATCAACAGAGATGCATTAAATAGATCAGATGCCATGTTTCTGCTCACATACAAGGAATATTAGTATGAAGCAATCAGACCACATTTGTGAAATGTTTACCGACACACACAAAAATGTATATTTGCACAATTAGAAAAACATTCAATACCTTTAGTTATAATACTTGACTGGAAGGTAACTAAAGAATAAAAATAAAGGTCTGCAGATAAACGATTCCAACTGCAAAGCAGTTGTAAGTATAACGTCTCACAGCGGCTTGGGCAAAGAATCAAACCTGTTTTCATAATTTCAACTTCAGAGGAATGATGACAAGTGTCTTAAATGTTTATGTAACTAAACACAATGTATTATCCAAAAAACAGTAAACAAGGATGAGACAAAAGCAGAAATCAAAATTCAAAGTGCCCCAAAACAGCAATCAATCAGAGCCCACTGACTGTCATATGGTCATTTTTATGTTCTTTATTTTCATTGGTACTTTAAAACAGTAAATTCTCTTTCACAGCAGTGCCTCCTAATTTGATAATACAGTACTCCAGTTTCTGAATGTAGAAATTTAAGATAAATCAATGAACACAAAAGCGTGCAAAACAGCTGCTGTAAGTCTGCTCAAACACATGGAATGTTGGCACCGAGTTGCAGCTGCTGTGGAGAGATCGATACACCACCCATACTCCCCACACCCACACCCGTGTGCTAGTGAGCACGCGCACACACATACACACACACACACACACACACACACACACACGTTCTGTGGGGTATCAGGACTTGCATTTCTCTAAAAACATACCTTTAAATGGTCTTAATTTTGTACAAATTGAAGTGCTGAGAAAAGGTCTAAATAAGAAGTAACAATTAAAATAAAAGGTTTGTTTTATTTGTAAATTATGTACAGAATGCTTTCTCATATTATGATGGGGGAAATGGATGGGAAGGGAAAGAACAGCCACCATTTTCCAACCTACGCTGTTCCCTTTCCTCTGCTGGAGAAAACCATTCCTCTCTCGACCAGATGTACAAACAAGTTTGGATTTCCTAAGTTGGTAGTTAAAGGACAGAATTGGGAGCTAAACAAAATCATGTGTTCCATCATTACTGACTGGCCTATCTTAAGCAAATAACTGCTAACTCTGAATTCTCAAGAAATTTTCTGGTACAATTTCATGAAAATTAAGAAATATAGCTTAAGTTTCAAGAATCATGAGTTATGTGTTCATTTCATCCTAAAATAATTCATAAATAGCTACCTGTGTCACCTGAAATTTTGGTCTTTAACTTTCATCTCTTCTGCCACATCTAACAGTAAGAAGCTCTACAGCGCTCAAAAATGCCATTATTCTAAATGCCACTGAGAAAACTACATCTTTGACATCTATCAAAAAGGAATAAAAGCTACTTACTGCCAGAATATTGTCAAATGGATAAAATTGTTATATATGTGTATTAGTGACTTAAGATTGTACCAAAAAAAAAGTTAGTAGCCTATAAAATAAAAAACTGAACAGAACTGCCTGGACATCAAATAGATCTCAGCAAACCGATTTAAAGACTACTCCAAACACTATAGGCATATTTTGGTGATCAGCCAACATAGAAAATCCAACCACTTGCACGCACTCAGTCCCCAAATAAAGTACGTCTATGATTTTTCAGATGAAGGCCTAGTCGTTTCTTCTTCTTCGTCATCTCCCTCTTCCTCTTCTTCTTCCTCTTCCTCACAATCTCCATCTGTCTGCTGTTCAAGTTCCTCTTTTGTAATCATTTCAAAATCATTCCCATTCCCACTACTGTGCTGGGAACGGTCGTCCTCTCGCCTGTCGCTGTCGGTGTCCGAATGCCGCTCCCCGCCTGAGCCCTCTGCTCCCTTGTTCCCCAGAGTTCCTATTTTCCCATCGTCATCTTCCTTTTTCTCACTGTCTGATTTTTCCTCACTGTCAGATTTCTGCTGTTTTTTGGCCTCAGATTTCTCATCTTTCTTTAAGTCTGCTTTTGGTCCTTTGTATTCATGTGTGTAGAGAGGCCTGAAGGAGTCAATGAAGCCCACGTCGGCAGTCAGATTCGGCAGGAACCAGAAATGGTGCCGTCCTCCAGTAATGAGCCAAATGATAAGGAACAGTATGCAGCGAGCTGTGAGGAGAAAAATCCCCCAAGTTTAATGTCTCAAGCACTCATGCTGTCACTCAGGTTTGATGTAAAAGGATGATGGATGGCCCCCTCCCCCACCAAATATACCCTGCAGCCACAATACTCATGAGGGCGCCAAAGGTCCTGAGCGGCATTTCACTTTACTCTGACTTTGAGGACACCATGGCTGAATGTCATCTGAAGAAAAGTCGCTGCTGCCAGATGACATTTAGGCATTTGAGAACAGTAACAATGAGATTCTTGGATTAAAAACCAATAAGATTAGTGGGATAAATGAATAATGCAAGGAATAAGCTTTTTAGAGTCTGCACTGTTCTTTATCTCGCATCCCAATGTCAAGATGGCTTCTACCTTCAAGTCATTTATATTTCTAGGTAAGACGGCCCTGAACATTATCATCAAAACAAAACTTTCCTGGTGAAAGATCAATGTTCATATTCCAAACTGCATTTCGGCTGCTTTTTTCTTCTGGTAGCTGAGCTTTTACCTTTCTAAATTTTCTGATACATAAGTTCACTGACCATAAGTAAAATGACACTACTCAAGACAGACAAGTCAAATTCCTTGAGTGATTTCCAGTTCTCCACACTGCGATATTATTTTCAATTTTCAATACTCCATCCTCACACTGCATTTAAGGTTTATAAAGCACTTCCTTCATAACTACCTTTTGAGGCAGAAAACACAAAATATTACCTTTCTTATTAGAAATGAAGGCACCAAGACAGAGAAGTTAAATGACTTGCCCAGAGTCAAATAGCTGGTATCAGAGCTGGGTTTCACACTTGGATCTCCTGACCCCAAGCCTGGTGCTCTCTCCACTTTCCCTGATTTTGTCTTTCACACACAGAAGCTCTCTCCTCTTCCCCTCACTCCCTTTCTCTTCCCCTCCCTCCCCCTCTGTCTTTCTACCTGACTTTCCCTCTCTTTTCTACTTGCTCCCTTTCTCATCCGCACACACTTTTACCACTTCAAAGACCCTCAGTATGGGTACTCCTTTCACTAGCACAGATTTCAACTCCTTATGACTCACTAAGCAGGTATTTCACATGTGCTATGGTTGAAAGGCTCAGATGAAAAAGTTTCTGCAAGCTCAGCTGGACTGGCCCTCAGGTCCTCTCCCCTTCATTTTCTCTAGGAGCTCCTACCAAGCTTAAGCCTTATTAGCACGGGCTTTGCAGACCCAGAGTCCTTCCCTGAATATGGTTATTTTAAATAAAGTGTCCCCTCATTATTTTCTATTTCTGCATAGCAAAGTAGGTCTCAAGAGCCCAAATAAGTAGACAAATGTTGGAAGACTACCTGGTTATGACAGGCTAGTTTTATAGGCAACTGTATCACTATTGCATAAAACCCTGAAAAAAGCTCTTTTACAGGCTTACCTTTAATATACTTTGGATGAATAACCAAAGGGAGTAGCTGACTTCACCTCACAAGTTAAGTATTCACAGGCTGGTCAGAAGTACTGATTTCCATTTCCACATAAGCACAGCCTCATTTTTTGAGACCTTGCATATCATTCATAAGAACTGGTGACGGTAGGAAATGGGAGAGGCCAAGGTGTACTCAATCTGTTTTGACAGGAAATCCCATTGACGGATTGCAAAAGAATGAGGGACTTCTAAAAACTGCACACTCTTCTCTTCTCCTGCCTGAACTATCTAAGACAGCGATGCCATTAATTTGACTCTAGAACAATTTCAAAGTGATCTGAATAAAACTGAAAATCACTCCTTGCCTATATATTCAGGACAAATTGAACTACCGCCTTGGAGGAGCCTGCCTCCAATTCAATTCACCAAATCTTTATAATTCACACAAGCCAATGTTTCCATCTTATCTCTGCTTTCTTAAATCCTCAGATACTGGTCATCCGTTGGCATACTCTGTAAAATTTTGCCTAGGTGATATCAGAATACTCACTTTAATATAGGGAAGAGTTATGGAGAAAATCACTGTAATTGAATGTTTCTCCACTGAAACTGATATCACATTTTAGAAAACTAAAGAACACAATATAAGTTATAGCTATGATTATTATTATTTGAAATAGTAACATTCACATTACCCATATAATGAACACATCTTAATTTTGACTCCTATGAATAAATTCAAACCTGATGCACTAGTAGGATGATGTATTGCCTATTTCCTGGAAGGAGACCAGTCAAGTCCTCAATTTTATAAATAGGTTGTGCTCTCCAGGGTGAGGATTTGTTTAGAACACAGAACATCTTTTGCCACAGAAAAATGATAAATCTTGCTGTTCAACCTAGCCCACAGATACCTCTTTAATTCATAAGGCAGCTGAGACACGGCATTTACAAAGATAAATACTATTAAGTAACCAGTATTATTAAAATAATAATTAAACAAAACAATAACATTAGCATCATTTTTATTTGAATCCTGGTATGTAAGCAAAAGCAGGCTTAAAAGAGGGTAAGAAAAGAGATGGAGTCTGTTGTGGGACATATGAAGGGGACTTCCAGACACTTTCAAGGCCGTGGGAAGTGGATGGCCCTGGGCCTTGATGATGCCTTATTTGACAAAAGTTAGGGCTTTCCTTTCCTTGGTACTGCTGTCTCCCTAGAACTTTTCTTCTGACTTGCAGTCATAATTAGGGTTGGGGCAAGGAGGGAGGGAGGTTGGTCACCAATGTAATAAAGAGGGAGACAGAGAGATGAGACATTCTCCTGAGGCAAATGAGCAAGAATTGAGAGAAAGAATAGATGAAAGTAAGAGGATTACCAAAAAGTGTCTCTCGGTGTGAAAAGTTGCCTGAGGTAAAAGCTGATTGAACTACCAGCACTCCAGGACAGGACAAGGGAGAAGCTCACCACTAACCCCAGCAGCCCCACTTCTCTTTAAACTCTGAGTGAGACAACGTCCAGGACACAAACACCTTCAGGGAGCAGACCTCTGCCCTTTCAGGTTTTACATCTTTTTTTTTTCTCTCCCCCAATAACCAATTCAGCTTTAAACACCATCACTCCATTTGGAAAAACCTGTCCCTAGAACATGCTCTAACCAGGATGAAGTATGAGGAACCCTCACTCTCAATCTCTAAACATGCACTACTCAGTCTTGATCCCTTCACGCCTCATCCAGACCAAAGCTTAATCTTCTGCCCACAATCAAACAGAACTGTACCCCCTCTTTTCTGATCATCCCCACCACACAAGGACATATTTCCTCAGGCCTTCATCATCAGGCACACGCTCCAAGCTACAAGTGTACATTTCTAGGGTGTGTTCATAAAGAGGAACAGCAAATAATTTAAAAAGTATAAGGATATATATGTGTAAGGACTCTATCCAGTGCAACCTACCCTCGATCTAATTAAATCCCTTGGACCCAGAAGCTCCTGGTAATTAGGGCTAATGCCCTCGCCATCCATCTGCCCACAGCTCAGGGAAGAACGCTTCTCTCGCTGCCCTATCAATTTTGGGCCGAATCCCTACACAGCCTGCAGTCAAACCACCTCAGGATGGGCACCCACTGGTCATCAAAGTGTCAAGGCTAACCCCTCTCACCTGGCTGGTCTTGGGATGGGCCTTCTAGTCCTGAGTTAACTCTTAGTACTGAAGGCCTTCTAGAGTTCGGCTCCAGTCCACCTGTCTAGCTTTATTTTTATAATGATCCCCTTACAAACTACTACACTCAAATCAAAATGATCTGCCTGCCTCCGATTCAGTTCACCAAATCCTTTGAATTCATGTAGGCCAATTCTTTTTACTGGAACATGTTCTCATCTTATAGGTGCCATCTTCCCCATGAAAAGCTGAAAGCTGATGAACGTTCTTTTCTCCTTAGGACGTTCTACCTCGTAGCAAACTCGTCCCAATCAGACTAAAAGCTCTTCAAGGGCAGGGTCTATGGTATTTCTTTTTTTTATTCTAATCTCTGGCACAGAGATGATATTTAATGTTTATAGAATTTGCTGCTTCAGTGAGATGGGATTCTTCACCTCCTCCTACCCAAACTCTCAATGGCCCTGGGTTATCAAAGAATACAAATTAAGTCTAAATCCTTTACCCTGAAATTTAAAGCCCTCTACAATTTGACACCAACCTCCACTTCTGGTTTTATCTACAACTCTTTATACATTTTAGGCTTTTACTAACTGGAACACTTGCTATTCACTGAAGATCACCAATTCTGTGTTTCATTCATGCTATCCCTTCTACTGGTAACGTACTTCTCTCACTGTACTTATACCTCGAGGTCATATCTTCATCAGAATGTAAGCTCAGTGAGGACAGGGCCTGCACACATTTTATCTTCATGTTCCTCTTATTTTCTAGCATTGTGACTTGGCACACAGTGGTTGAGCATTAAGAATGAACCGAATGATGAATGTGAAAGATAGTGACACCACAGGTCAAATCGTTGTCATACCCCAAAACCGAATGCAAACAAAGCATGTATGGTTCTGGGACAAATCAGTAGAAGAAAAAAAATTCTTAGAGAATATAATTTAGTTTCTGGAAATTTTACAAAACTACTTCAGTGGAAATAAATGCTCCTTGAAACAATAAACACAAAGCAAAGCAAAGTGAAGTAAAAAACAAAAGACAAGAAGTTAAGTGATACGGAGTCAAGTCCCTGGTCTGACACCACTTGGCTGTAATGACCTTTCTGGGTCTGTTTCTTCATCTGTAAAATGAAGAGGTTGGACCAGATTACCTCTAAGGTCCTAACCTTAACTCTGTGATCATATCTTTCCTCTACACTTCCCACTACCATTTCCTTGTCAGAATAAAATGTTCACAGAAATTTAAATCATAAATACTCCCTGTTCTTCCAGTCCATTATCCAAGCTCAGGCCTCACTTCCCTCTCTTTACAATCTTAACGAAATACTTAACTCAACCGTACAGTATCTACCCTTCATCCATCTCTACTGTGTTGCTGAACGCTGCTGGAAGAAGGCAGAAGACCATATTAACTGGGTCCCCTACAAACTCACAGTATTAAATCTCCCATTAGGCCACGGCACTGTTCCATGGCAATCCTTGGACTCTTTTCTGGGGACCATGACGCCACCCATAAGGCCCATTCCCAATCTTCTTTTCTTCCCAAGCTCCAGCAGTATGTGAACATACCTGTTTTACAAAGAAAACTCAGGCCACTAGTCATAAGCTCCCTCATTTCCGCAGACCCTATTTCAGAACTCTGGTCTCTCTTCACTCATTTTCTCATTTGTTCCTGTCTCTAAGGAAGAGGAAGCACTTTTCCTCTTGTCAAAATGAATTCTCTGATGTGTGTTCTTGATCCTATGACCTTCTGCCTTCCAACAGCAGCCTCTCTAATCACCTTCCTCTCTAATCTTCAATCTCATCTTGAATAATGGCTCATTGCTGGTTGTCCACAAAAACACCTAAACGTCCATCTTTTAAAAAACCTCTACTGGATCCTCCTCTGCCCAAGTCATTTCCTCTCTTACCCCTAAAGGCCAAGAACAAAAAGGTGCCTACACTTCTTGCCTGATTCATCCCCTCCCACACACTTGACTGCTTGCAATCAAGGTTCTTAACCCATCACTGACTAAAAGGGCTCTCTCCCCAGTTACCAACCAAACTCTTAATTCCTAGCTCTGACGGCCTATTCTCAATCATCACTTTTCCTGATTCTTGGCAGCTTCCACTACTGCCAATCATCCCTCCTGGATGCTCTCACTTACTTCGGCTTTCCTGTCTGATGGAGCCTTCACAGAACTTCATCATTCTTTTCCTGTCTCTAACACTTGGTCCTTCGTTTCCCTTCCCTTCTCTTCCTTATCCCCACATCTCCAACTTGCCCTTCTTCCAAGCTTTCCCAATTCTGTGGTGGGCACAACCCAGTTTCCCACATTCATAACTAGAAATAAATGAAGTATGGCCCACTCCCGTCTCCTTCCACATCCAGTAAGTGGCTGAGTGTTGTTGATTCTACAACTGACACAGCTCTCACATCCACCCTTCTTTCTACTCACAAAGTCACTACCCTAGCTCAGGCTCTCAGCCTCTCTCACCCACCTAACTCTAACAGCCTCCTTTAAATTTCCCTGTTTCCAGTCTCTAACCATACAATCTGTCCTCCAAACACTTGTAAAAATTATCTCCAGAAGGCAAAGGTCTGAATGCTCAAGGATAAAACACAAACTCATCACCCGAATGTTTGTGGCTTTCTTTAAAGTGAATACAACCGACTTTACCTTTCCAGTCTTATTTCACATTACAACTATTCACACAGGGTCTAATCCCATCAAATCTGACAGTCTGACGTTCTCTACACTTGATATTGCATCGCCTGCATTTGAGAACCCACACTCCCCCCATCTAGAGTGTATTTCCTGATTCTGCCCCTCAGAATTCTCCTTTTCCTTCAAGAATCACTTTGGTGCCACATCCTCCATGAAGCCTTCCTTGGCTGCTCTCCTTTCCCAAATTACCCTTTATTACTTCTTTACAAATACTGCATTCTCCCATTAGAATGTAAGCTCCTCACTCAACAAGCACTTACTAAAGGTCTACTCTGTGCCAGGCACTGGCATGATGGAAAGACTAGTGGACTTGAAGTCAGAAGGCTCTGCCACTTACTACCTGTGTGACCTGGGGCAGTCACTTAACCTGGATGAGTCTCAATGTCCTCCTTTGTAAAATGAGGGCGTTGGAAGAAATGACTTCTACAGTGCCTATCCAGCTCCAAATACAGGCTCCTACAGGAACTAGTCAAAGAAACTAGGTTAAAGCAAGTTTTTTCATATTTGCCCAAATTCAGTCAGGCACATATCAATGCCTTATTAAAGGGATGTGGGTTGTTTTTGTTTTTCTGTTTTGTTTTGTGGGGGGAGACTTGGGGGGAAGTAGTCAACTCTGGAATCTGACCAAAATGAACAGAGAAGTCATTGTTTGTCCATTTCTAGATTTTCCCCAAATGCTTAGATATTACTGACCTCTGATCAAGCCCAGAATTACTGCCTTCCGACTAGAATAAGGTTTTGGAGTTTAGTTTGACTCGCTGAATACCCACCTTACTGAACTCATTTTTACTGGAGAGAATACTTACCAATAGCAAGCAGCAGAATGCTGGCCACAAAGCAGCCGGCTCCTACACTGAGGTAATAAACACCCACTCGCATCTCTGCGGGCCACAGAGGGAAGAGGGTGGCTGCAATCACCGCGATCACTGCAACAAGAAAGCACCAAGACGCCGAGTTCGTTTCTGGACTCAAACTGAACTGGCTGATTAACCATGACTTAACAAAGAAAGGTTGTAATACTATTATCTACATTGTTGGTGGCGGAGGATGCTTTAAAATATTTCATGTTCTATTTATAAACCAATTTGATATATAAACTTAAGATTAAACTCTGTGCTATCAATCAAACAATTACTAAGTGCTTAGGGTTCAGGTTTGGCAAATGAAGCTGCAGGCAAAATTCAGACATTATGTTTTGATACCTTCAATCTCCACCTGACGTAACATGGGACGGCGCTCTTCTCTCTTTCTTAAAGGGATGAAAATGCAGATACCCACCAATCTAAATATGACCCCTTCACCGGTGTCACACGATGTTTAAACAAGCAAAACTCTACCACAAACCCTGGTTTGACAATTTATACACAATCTAGTGATTCTCTCAAAAATCACAGTAACAACTGTTATAAGATAACTTGAAACAAAATCAAAATTTCTAATCTCAGAACTCCCCCCCCACAGAAATACATGATTATTAAAAAAAAAAAAAAAAAAGGAACTAGAACAGAAATGGTAAAATGGAGGCAACTATTCATAGTACAATATCCTTAGTAATCGCTTTTTTTCCTTCTTCTGGAATATCATTCTTGTGGCTCCGAGGAGAGTGGAGAAGAGTATGCTTTTCTGGAGGTTTGCTTACTTCTTTTTGCCATGTAAGAAATTTTGGAGGGTGACTAATTAAGATCAGCTGTTTGGGGAATGGATGCCCTGTAGCTGAATGGATTTTTGGTCACTAATAACTTAAGGCACAATGTTTCACTAAAAGACTTAACTTGATTTAGTATTTTAGAATTTAAGAAAAAATACTCCTCTCACTTGTGTTCATCACCTGAACAGGGATTCAGACACTACATGCCTATGTCAGCATAATTTTAAAAGGCTCATCTTTAGATAAGATTCCTAATAAGAAATCCACAAGGAAGACCCACTTATCTCAGCTATTTCCTCCCCATCTCCTTAAGGCCATACTTAAACTATTTATTCACTCACCAAGAATCAGTCCCATGGCAAACGTTTTAAAGTGGACTGGGTCATAGATCCACACATACACCTAGAGGAATAAACAGTTAAATGTTTCCATAAAACAACAGAAAGTTAGAGGTCCAGTTATTGTAATTTAGATGTTGTGTATATTAGGAAAGTGACACCATTTTGGAATTCAAAGCAAGAATCCAAATTTAATTAAATACTTCAAACAATGTACTACTCGAGCTCTAGTCTAAAAAAGCCAGATGCTCTGACTGAAATTGGTGTGTTAGTAAAGACTATTCAATAAAAGCACCAGCCACTTAAGGAGTTTACAATGACACAAATAACTAGTCTAAATTTTTTACTTCAATCTCTAGACTTTAGGCCACCAGAGAAGTTTATTAGAACATTACATGTATCTGTGGAATAGAAAAATCTACCCTAGAAGTAAATTGCTAACTTGGTGGCAATTTTTCCTATTAGTAAGTAAATTATACTGGACAACTTTAGGTTTTAAACAGTTTGCCTAACCCTTTTCACAGTGTAGCCAGTGACTGAGATATAAAGTAACATGAATGTAATCAGACTGAGTTATCAGATATATGACTGACCATCTAAAGAAGATTCATCATATATCTAATCGTTGTGATTGCTTCATTCCCATCTCATGATTTCTACTGATAATCACAGTTTAATTTCTAGGCTGGAAACACTAACCTCATTTCCATCCAGGAACACTTGATCTTCATGTGGTTCAAGTTTGAATTTTTTCTTGGCTTCTTTCTTTTTGGGTGTTCCTGGTGTTTCCTCCTACAAAAATGTACACACACACATACACAAACACACACACCCCATTAAACAGGGTGAAAAATCATTTTAAAAACTGTATAATCTCATTGAAAATGAAATTGAAACATTCATCAAACTAGTGACTTTCAATGCCATATTGGCTATACTTCTTACATTATGTTAAGGAGTTGAAAAGTCTCTGAAAAATGAATCAAAGAAAACAAAAACCAGAAAAAAACTAAAACAAACAAAAAGCTAACCTTGACTATTCAAAATTCCAAAGTGCCACGGGACACTTCCAAGGTACTGTATGCTTAAAAAACACAACACACCAGACACACCCTACAAGCTGCTGCGATTCAAAAAAAAAAAAAACAAAACCCCGATAAATACTGCAGAAGACAATGAAATGATTGACATGAGATGACCAGTAATAAACTGCATCTGAATAGTCTATGAGTGTAAGCTACTTCACATCTATGACTTCATTTGACCCTCCCAGTTCTGTATCAGTGTTTATGTATGTATGACCTCCATCCTCCAGAGAAGAAAACTGAAGCTCAAAGTACAGGCCAGGGCCAAGACTTACACTCAGATCTCCTCTACGCAGCTTCTTGTCTGTACTATAACTACTGGAGTTGGGGGAGTGGAAAGAAGAGAGGGCAGGGGTTAAGTTGCAGAATATTATTGTTGGAAATAACCTTAGAGATTATTTAGCCCAAAACCTCACCTGAAGAAGAAGAAACAAAGGTCTGGAGGTTAAATGACTTTTCCAAAGGTCCAGAGCTAGTTTGTAATGAACTTCCATGTTCAAGAACTTGAAAATTCCTAGCCAAACAAAATTTTTTATCATTCCATTTCTCCCTATGCCTTATTACTACTCAACCAATTCTTAACCCTCACTGTGACCACCCATTAACCACTTCTCAGTCCTGTCCCAGGCAACCATCATCACTGGCTACACTCCCCGTCCTTTGTAAGGTCAATCCTTTGGTGAACCAGTTCAACTCAACACTATCTGCTAGTCAAAAATTCCTTGCTCCCTTGTCCTTTTGCCACTGATGTTTTGCTAAATTCATGATCTACCATGAATTACACTCCTACCATCCACTCTCATCTTCACCTACGCATGTGCTAAGATGAATGCTGAAGGAATTCATGTAGCTCCCCTGACTTGGTCCACTACAAATTTATATAATCTACTCTCCACTGAGCCCTCACAGCAGCAAGGCAATTCATCTACTCCTCCTTGATTATCTAGCCACATCACAGCAGCTACTCCAAATCTCCTTTCTTTTTGTTGTTGTTTTTAAAAATTATATTTAATTTTCATCAATCACAAAAAATCTCCTACCATCTTTCCCCCAATTAATAAGAAAAATAAAATTCATTACAAACATGTACAGTCAAGTAAAACAAATTTCCATCTTGGCTGTGTCCATAAAAAAAAATTGTCTCACTCTGCACTGAGGCCTTCACCTGTCTATCAGGAGGTGGGCAGCATGTTTCTTCATTAGTCTTCTGGAATCGCAGCTCATCATTATGCTGATAAGAGTTCTTGATTCTTTAAGCTGGTTGCATTTACAATACTGTTGTCATTGTATAAATCATTCTCCTGGTTCTGTCTCATTTCACTCTGCATCAATTCATAGGAGTCTTCCCAGGTTTCTTTGAAACCACCTCTTACAGCAAAGTAATATTCCATCACATTTATAACTTGTTTATTCGTTCCTTCATTTATGAGCACCCTCTCAAACTCCCATTCTGTGCCACTTGAAAAAGACCTGTGACTATGTTTCTGTACCTCCTTAGAGGCTGCGTTGCTGAGGACTAATCTCTCTCTTAATCCGGCCTCCTTCTAATTCCCCCTCCTGCCTTCTCCCCTTCCCTATTTCCCTGCTGACTGACAAATATTTCTGGGCCCAGCTCTTTGTGTGTGTGTATATTCATTCTTCCTTCCTTTAACCAGTGTAGATGAGACAACGTGAGATGATTTCCCCTGATACTCCTTTTCCTCCCTCCCACCCTGCACTGTGTACTCCTCTGCCCCTTCTTCTCATTCTTCTCCTAAGATCTTCCAGATGTACCCAAACTACTGCCAAGCCTCATCTAACAAGACTCCCACTATGAGCCCTGATGATGACAGAAATTAGAGGGTACACATGTCTCATCTTCTTATGCCAGAAGGTAAGCAATTTAACCTCGTTTAGTCAATTATCATTGCTCATTTGTGTTTATCTTTTTATATTTTTCTTAATTCTTTTGTTTGAACTTCAAAGTTTGCTGGCAGCTTTCTATCAGGAATACTTGGAAGTCCTTTGTCATTAAAGGTCCATTTTATTCCCCTATGGCATTACGCAAAGTTTTGCTGGGTGAGCTATTCTTGGCTGTAAGCCCATGTCCTCTGCCTTCTAGAATACTGTCTTCCAAGCTCTCACTGTACAGTTGTGGTTGCTAAGTCATGCATGATCTTAACTGCAGATCCTCAGTACTTGAATGCTTTCTTTCTGGCTGCTGCAAGTATTTTTGCTTTCACCTGGAAGCTCTAGATTTGGGTTATGATGTTCCTGGAATGTTCATTTTGGTTTTCTTTCAGGAGACCTGACTGGTAGAATCTTTCCGTTTCCATTTTTTCCTTCTTGAGTTATCTTTAAAGATTTCTTGAAATAGGATGTCTAGGCTCTTTTCTTTGGTCATGGTGGTTCAGACAGTTCAGTAACTCCTACATTTTCTCCTAAATCTGTTTTCCAAGTCAGTTGTTTTTGCTATAAGATAGCTTGTATTTTCTTCCTTTTTCTTTTTTTTTTAAAACCCTTTGACTTTGTTTTAATATTTTGCATTGTCTTGTGGAATCACTGACTTCTATTTGGTCCACACTAATTCTCAGGGAGTTTGTTGTTTGGGCAAGGTTTTGTACCTCCTGTGCCAAGCTGTTAATTCTTTTTTCAGTTTTTTCCTCCATCGTCCTCACTTCCCTTCCAATGTTTTCCTCAAGGACTCTCATTTTGTTTATAAAAATGTTTAAACTCTTGCTTCCTCTCTTCTAGGAATTCTAGCTGAGTCTGTGCCCACACTGCATTTTATTTTATTTTTTTAATGATTTGCCTATTGGTGTGTTTTGGGGTCATTCTTGTCTTGAGCTTCCTGCCACCATATCTCTTTATGGAGGGATTCCTCTTTTCTGCTTATTCTCTTAGTCTATTTCTGAACTTCAGACTTGAAATGAGGGCTGAGCTCTGCCTCATTCTGGAAGGAAGGTCTCTTGGGGCCTGCGTGACTGTGGGTAATTGCTCCCAAAGTGGTCTGATCCAAAGTAAAGTCTGATCACTAAGTCCCTGGTCTGAGCTCTGCAAGTTCCTCACCTGGATTTTGGTCTGAGAAAAAGTAGACTGCTCCTGGACTCTATCAGACAGCTGCAAAGATCTGCTGGTTCAGAGTAGCACAACTGTAGGCAACCCTTTGGACTAGGATTCCTCTATAAGCTGGGCGAGATGCTAGCACTGAGATCCTGCTCTGCTCTTGGGGTCTGAACCACACTGTTGCTGCTGCTTCTCAACTCCCCAGGGACTTCCTACCCAGGAATACCAAATTACCACCTCTGGGTGCCAGTCCTCTTCTCAGTCTACCCTGGATCTGTGACAGAATTGGGTAGCGGGTGTCAGCTGCCAGCTGGTACCTGTCCCCATCAGGATGCTCCGGTAGGTCAGGGACAGCCTCTTCCTGGGTGATGTTCCATGAAAGCCTAACCTTATCCCTCATGTCTGCAGACCTTTCTGTCTCTCTATGCCTACCAGATCTAGAAGAATTACTCACTGTGACTTTTTCTGGAATTTCCCACCAGGATTCAGACGAGTGCATTTTCTAGGTCTGTTTGGGGGAGTTTTGTGGAGGGGAACTCGGCAGTACTGCTTTCTGCTACTCTGCCAACTTGGCTCTATCTTCTTTTCTTTCCCAACTTTCCCACAGCATCCTCTTTCCCCATTTTCTCAGAAGAGGACCTTACTTTAAACTTTACTATGAAAATGGAGATTATTTGCTACAATCTCCCTCCTCTCATTTAATACGCCATGACACTGTCCCACACCATCTCCTTTATTATAGTCCCTATAGAAAGGTGGCCATTCTCACCAAGACCAACACCTCTACCTCTACACATTCCCTGGATCTCATCCCCTCACTACCTCCTTATGATGACACCCACTACCACTCTCCTTTTAATTTTCAACCTCTCCTCATCTATTATTTCCTTCCATGTTGCCCACAAATATGCCTATGTCTCTCATCCACAAACAACCATTACTAGATTCTACCATGGCCACTAGTAATAGTTCTCTATCTCTATTCCCACTTTCAGCCAAATTCCTCGGAAAAGCCATCTATCGCCACCATCCCAGACCTGGAATCTGGAAGGGTGAGTGCTGGCATCATTTTACCTCTTGGTTTCTTGATTGGTGAGATGAAGATAACAATACTTGCCCACCTGCCTGCTTGGGGGCCGCTCTGAGTCAAAAGTGAGACATAGACGTCACAGCTCTAAAGTGTATGGAAATGTAGGCGGGAGGGAGAGCTATCTATTCTGTGTATCTGGGCTTTCACTCTCTTCTTAAACCCCTGTATTTTGGCTTCCGATCTGTTACTCAGATGAAATGGCTCTCTCCAAAGTGGCCAATGATCTCTTAATTGCCCAGTCAGATGGCCTTTTCTCAGTTCTCATTCTTCGTAACCTCTGCAGCTTCTAACACTGTAAACCACATTGTCTTCCTGGATACTGTCTCCACTCTGGGTTTTCAGGACACTGCTCTCTCTGGGTTCTCCCCCTTCCTGAAGTCTGACTGCTCCCTCTCAGTCTCTTTTGCAGATTTTTATCCACTTCTCCCCCCCTCCTCCCCAACGGCAGGAATGACCCAAGGCTGTTGCGGACTCTCTTTTTTCTCTGTAATTTCTCACTTGGTGATCTCACCACTTCCCATCAGTTCAATTATCACATCTATGCAGATGATTCCCTGATCAATATCGAGCCCTAGTTTGTCTCATGAGCTCCAGTCTGCAACACATTTCAAACTGGATATCTTGTATTTCAAGATTTCATCCTCTCTCACGTGGACTCTTATAAGAGCCTCCTCATTGATTTTCCCGCCTTATATCTCTCCCAACTCCAATACATTTTTCCACTTGCTGCCAAAGTAATTTTCCTAAAAGTCAGTTCTGGCCATTGTCAAGTCACCCTTTCCGATACCGCATGTAGTAGAACTCTATCACCTCTAAGAGCAAATATAAACTCCTCTGCATGGCATTCGAAGTTCTCCACAACCTGGCCCTTTCCTACTCCACCGCCCCTCCCCCAGCCCAGCTGTCTCACAGAATCCCTGCTTTCATCAAGATTCACATCCAGTGCCATCTTACGGAGGAGGGACTTCTCAGTTTCCCCAGCTACTGGAGCTTTCCCTTCTAAGTTTACTACGATAATGAGAAGAAAGAGAACATTAAGAGCAACTAGTCAAAGGAAGAATTCTTCCCAAGAGGAGCCTAAGGGAACAGTTTGATTTATCTCTGTTGATAGACAAAACAGCACTGTCATTATAACTTAATGCTAGTGACTTGATACCGAACAGAAAATTTATGTTAAAAATGAGGAAATGTCTAAGATGGACACTATGATGTGCATTCACAATCTTGAACTTTCTGTAACTGGTAAATCCCAAATCTGACGATGACCAACAATTAATTGTTCTCACAGACTTGTGCCACCTCTGGCAGGACTCACCTTTTTTGACTCTTCCTTTTCACCATCTCTTTTTTTCTCTCTCTCCTTCTTAGCCTTTTCATCCTTTGGATTCTCTTTCTTGCTTCTCTTCTCTTCCTCTTTCCCACTCTCTACCTTTCCTTTTTCTTTCTCTTTTTCTTTCTTGGTGTCTTTGTCAAGTTTCACTTTCATTACTTTTAATGCTCGGTGAAAGAACTGTTTCTTTAAAAGCCTTTAAAATAAACAAAAAAGCCATTACATTATTTATAATTACTTGAAATCTCTTGATTACTATAAGGATAATTTATATACCAAAGAATTCAGTAGGTAGATCCCTAAATACCCAATCCTTCCCAAGTGTCTTAAGGATGCCTACCCTTCTTTAAAAATGTCTACATGGTTTTAAGTAATCCTAATAGAATGGGGTTTGTGTCCAGAACTAGACCATAAACAGTACCACCACACCCACTCTTCTTCTCTCAAGTGTGCGTCCAGTTTTAACACTCTTTAAGTGGGAGGATACATTGTGGGCACTGATTAGGTACTGACAACATGCCCCTTCCGGATCAATGCCAGCTCCTTCAGGAGAGGGATGGTGCTGGCTCTGAGTGCAGAGGTAACAGTAACCTATCACCAACAAGGCAAAATGAAGCCCGACGTTGCTTCTGTTTCCTCTGTCAAAAAGGATGGTCGTTAGACTGAAAAGGATAGAAGAAGTATGGGGGATAGGAAGCCGAACGCCAGGACAAACAGGGATGAAGGAACACCTAGCAGGCCCTGATGAATCTTAATCACTCAGCAGAACTATACTGCATCTAAGGATCCTGAAAAAACTGGAGAATGGGATTACTGGGCCAACATCAGAGATCTTTGTATACTGTGGATAACAGAAGAGGTGTACCACAGACTGGAAAAGGCAAATTCTGGTACAATTTTAAGAAAAGGAAGGAGGATGGAGTATAAAAACTCAGACCAATAAGCTTGACTTTAGTTCAATAATGTCTTATCAAAACGGGTAGTCAGTGGCCATCTAGAAAAGGAAGCTATGATCACAAAGAGTCACCGTGACTTATCAAGAACAAGTCACACCAAACTAATCTTATTTTCTTTCTGGATATAGTTACTAGACATATAAGGGGACTACTACATATGTAACTTAGATTTTAGCCAGACAATTTGTAGGAAAAAAAAACCAATAACCCTCTCATGCTAGACAATAGTACAGTTAGGCAAATTCAGAGCTAGCTGAATGGATGGACTAGTCATTAATGGTTCCACGTCAATCTAGAAGGAAACCTCTAAATGGAGTCTCCCAGGGGTTTGTGCTTGGCCTTGTGATATTGACCACTTTTATCAATGACTTGAATAAAGGGACAGGTGGCATATTTATCAAATTTGTAGATGATACAAAGCTAAGAAGGATAGGTTACACATTACACAGAATTTCAAATATGACAGGCAAATTTAATTAGATGATATCTATTTGAGGTAAATGTAAATTTTTACATGTGGGTTCAAAAAAATCAACTTCACAAGAACGTGATTTAGGAGGAATGACCAGGCAGCAGTTCATTTGAAAAAGATCTGGACTTTTCATGGACTGCATGTTCAGTAAGAATTAAGAGTATAATACAGCTGCCAAAAAAGCTAAAGATACCTTAGAAAAAGTATAGAGACTAGGACTAGGGATGTGAAAACTGTACTATACTGTGTTCTAGTCAGACCACATCTGTAGAACTGTGTTCAGTTCTGGGTACTGCATGTTAGGAAGGGCAATGATTAAACTAGAGAGCTTCCAAGAAAGTTGACCAAGAGGCTGAAGGGGTTTGAGATATGCCATATGCTATTGAAAGAAAGAGAATGTGTAACCTAGAGAAAACTTAAAGGTAACATGACAGCTATCTTCAAGATCTCAAGGGCTAACATGTGAAAGATGACTTGTTCTGCTCAAATCCAGAAGGCAGAACTAGGGGAAATGTGTAGAAGTTAGAGAGAGATAAGTGTCAATTGAATAAGGAAGAACTTCCTAACAATTTGAGCTAACAAAAGTAAAACAGGCTGCCTTTGGAAGTAGTGGGTTACCCCTCATTAGAAATCTGGTGAAACAAACAGAACATTACCAATCCAAATCACTGTTTTCTTAGACATACTAATTTTCACCTGCACATTTACTTTTCCCCACTGAGATGTCAATATGTTGAGAGCTGGCCTAAGAAATTAGACGGGGAGTTTTTCAGAAGCCACAGACAATATACGAAGGCCAGCAGATGACAGAAAAAGTTTAGAAACTGAGAAATGCATAAAAGATATGTATAGTATTACATAATATCAACCTAAATTTTACAATAAGGTACTGTAAACACCTCATAAATGAAAAAGAAAATTAAGATTTCTTCTCTGGTACAAAGGGAGGGCCAAAAAATTTTACTCAGAATTTCCAGAATTTGATGGTGTCAGACCCTTAATCCCTACAATGTGGAAGGAAGGGATAGCTGGACTACCAGACAGAAACTAGCTTGATTTAAGTACTGAATAATGCAAATGCAGAGAAGCTAAATCAATGCTAACTTGCTAAAGACTCTTCATGGCACCATTTCTTTAAACTCTGTTGAATACATTTGGCAAAACATACCTGTTTGCAAAATGCTCAATCTATAATTACCAATAATGACATTACTATGTTTAACTGCTGTGTGAAGGATATAAAAACGAATTATAGACTCTGATAGGCAGAACTCCCAATGGCTAATGATTTAATCTATTTGCTCTCTTACTGATGAAGAAAACAGAATTTAAGAGATTTGATGCATGTTTTGTTACAAACATGTTTTGTGCACAATAGAAGAACTTTTTTTTAAGGCAGAAGCAACTTGAAATTATTTTTGTGAGGGAAGAGTGGGGAAATATCACAATCTGATTCATGCAAAAAGAATACAACAGGAAAAATCACTTTGTGTACCCACAGATGACAAGACTAATGTAGGCACAAATCTGACCATGTCAACCCTGACTCTGCTGAAGAAGCTTCAGCACTTCCCAACAGCCCAGGGCTAAGCTAACAGCCCTCGCACCCTGGCTTCGGCCAACCTTCCTAGACCTTCAGTCTATCCCTCGCCAGACTCCACAGGTCTGCCATCCTCCAGAACTTGTCTGCTGACTCTTGCTTCTACGTCTTTGCACAGGCCACCCCCCGAAGCCTGGAATACATTCTCTCCATCTATTTCAAGGGTCGATGGCACAAAAAGGTAAAAAACTCCTGCACTAGTTTTTGGAAGCTCTTTCTTGGTTCAAATGACTTATCTACTTACCTGTTTACATTCTATACTCCCCTAGTAGGACACAAGGTCCTTGAGGAGGGCCTTTTTTCCCCCTGTATACTCAGAGCTTAGTTTCTACAACCAATGTACAAAAGCTGCTCAGCTGAGAGAATTCAAGTTGTGACTAAAAACTTAAAAAAGAAAGAACCCATGAAGTATGTTGGATTTCCCAAAAGCCACAGACATTGCTGAGGGGAATGTCTTCTAGACCCTCTGCCCAGCAGCCCGAATGAAGCTCCCCGGGGAAGGAGCAGACTTCTCCGTCTACATTAATGATATTATTGAAAGGATAACAATGCTGACCTTTAGTCAGTTACAAGTTACTTTTTGTTTCATGAACTCTACATGTGCAATTATGTTTTTTCAAACTGAGAACCTGGCATTTGCTGTATATGCTATAAAACAATTATGATGTTCTAAAACAAGAATTAGAGATGAAGAAGAATAGGTTACTGGTTAAAGAACACATAGTTATTTCAAGACCACAGTTGACTGGATATCCCAATGGGGAAGGGCAATAAATGGCTTCAGGAGCAGGCAGTGTGGGCATTTCAGGTACTTGGCCAATGAGGGAATAAAATCACTGCCAGCTACTTAAGTCCCACTTGGTTACTTTGAATAATATTAACCTTCAATTTAATCTACATTAATAATACAGCAAAATCAGTACAGTATTGTTCTCTTTGTTATGCTTAAATCTCATGAGAAATAGCCATTTTATCGTGAAAATGACTAAGCCAACAAAGAAATATTAAAAATCAATTTTTACATGGCTTATAACAAACAAGTCAACAATACCTGTTACAGTAGTCAACAACAGACTCTCGGGTTGTAAACAAAGCTTCTTCTCCTTTCTTGGCCTTTGCCCATTTGGAGTCCAAAAGGCAATCTACTGCTTTTGAAGCTAAAAGAAAAAAAAAGTTGATTATTATTATACTACAGAATTATTATTATTTACATATTATCATTATACTATAGAATGAGAATACATACTACTTATCAAACTCAAATTTTATTAAGTAAATTCCTAAGGTCATGCAACTAATAGACTTATGTACTGGTATATAGTCAACCTCACATTCCAAAAGAGAAATTACTAAAAAGCAAAGGACTTTCTAATCAAAAATAAAAAATGTTTACGAACCCTGATTTAGCACTAATAGATGAAAATAAGTTCTCTAATTACTTGTTTTAAAAATGGGGGAGAAGAATTTAAAAAACTGAACTAATTTAATTAAGCCAATGTGTTTTAAGTGCCTATTGTAACCAGGGTGCTGTACTAGGTACTTCTTGTTGGTGTTTGTCCTTCATTTTGAAGAGGACCATGACGTTGGAAAGGTGTCATGACTTGTAAGTGAACTGGGTTTAAGTGAGGCAAGGCTGTGCAAAGTCACCAGCCTCACTCTCTCCTCTGGAGCCATCTGGGTCCAGTGGCGAGATATAGCTCAGGATGACTGGAGATGGCCGGAGATGCATGGGAGACCTCGGCCTTTTTAAGCTAAGGTCTTTCCCAGGTCTCAGCTTGTCTGAGGCACAGTCCGTTCAGTGATTAAGGCTAGATAAGAAGAAATGAGGCCAAGGATGACCTCTTTTACCTAGTCAAAAAACAAATAAATAAAAATCAATCTGGGAGGGGAAGACTCCCAGAGTCTCTGGCCAAAACAGGAACAATTGCTATTTACACTCGGAGCCATAAAAAGCCCAGACAATAACCAAATGAGGCTTGGGCTAGGACCTATTATTGGCCAATCAATGAGAGCCAGAGAGATCTGGGTTTAAGGCAGGGTCCTTAAAAAAGAAATCTAGAGTACAAACCCCAAGATATCTTGGGAGGTTTCAGCGATCAAAATTTATACTGCTAGGTGCTAATCTGTAAATCTACAGCAAGATAATTTAACTTTATTGTTTATATTATCTGATTTGATTTCTTACAACCTTCCTCTGAGATAGGTAGTATAATACTCCTTTACATGTGAGAAAGGTAAAGCTTAGAGAGCATAGTGACTTGTTATGGTCACATGGCTATGACATGTCATGATCAAAACCAAATGGTCTGATTCCAAGTTTAGTGTTCTACAGTTGATCTTAACTGAAAAAAGTGCCTTGGATAACTGAATCCAAGAAGGGGAAAACCCTTCCCCACCTCTGTTGTATAAATATATTTGCTAAGGGATTCTACCAAAGGATCACTGAGTAACATGGGACCAATAAAGGCAAGCTTTATAAGCAACCCAATGATGCTGAGAGAAAAATTAAATAGGACAGAAAGAATTAAATTGGCATGTCCATCATTCCTGGGCTTTACATGAATGAAATAAAACAGTTTATGGAAGAGAATCAAATACAGAAAAAATGCACAACTGAAGGAAGGAATTCCATCTTATCTCGACCAATGAGGTGAACACCCAAAATGCAATTTATACTACATTGCCCTGTGTATCACAGTGCTTGGGTCACACTAAACTGCTGCAATGGACACCAGACAGCCCAATACTGAATTCTCCTATAGAGAAAAAATTGAGAGAAATTATGTGTATTTAAGACATAAACATATAACATTAGCTGACAGCAGGTGCACAAGCTTTATAAAAAATAGTGTAAGAAAAAAAGTTCAAAATTTGTTCATTAATGTAAAGGAAAGCACTTTAAATAAAGACATCTGAGAAACAGTAAAACTTAAATATCTTTAAGAGATCTGAACTGATGTGATTATTTTGTTGTAATCCTACCAATAAAGTAATCAACCCGGTGACCCATCATGTTTGTGGATTTTGTGGGACAGTTGAACCGGAGATATTTGGCCACGGCCTTTTCCTCTTTGGATGGTTCCCCAACTTCCTGCAAAATGAAAACTTTATTTTAGAGTAATCATTCATGGAGGAAATTTTACACTCTGTAAATTATGTTTACAAAAGCCTATTAAGGGTCTTTTAGACAACATGATAAAATAATGAAAAAGTTACAACTTGGTTTAGTGTTGAGCACTGACGAGAGTTTGAGAGTAAACATTTCCAGGCAAATTCTTGAGAACCACATCATCAAACCCCCCTTTTGAAACGTTAAAATGTCATTATGATATAAAGCTGTTCCCAGGAGCTAATCAACACTCTAAAAATCTAAAGTCAATTCTCAGTTGTTCATACTTGGACAATACGGTTTGTGCGTTTACAATTTAAAATGGGCATGCCTACGTTAACCTCCATGAATATTGGTGCTAACTAGGAATTCCGTTCAAATAAAACAGTGCAGTCATACTATGAAGAGCTGATCTGGAAAGTGTGATGTGATCTAAATACCCCATCCTATTCCTTCTCTCCATCTCAGGTCTCCCCAAATCAGAACACTCCAAAACAAAAGAAACCAAAAGCTCTCCTCTTTACAACACTGTCAGTACTAAAAATAGATCGCTTACGGCTCCCCTAGCACAAGCGGTTACTGGGGGGAGGAGAACTGCAAGGAGAGATGTCTCTTCATGAAAAGTAAATAGGGGCAAAGAATTAGAAGCTGAGGGGATACCCATCAATTGGAGAATGGCTGGACAAATTCATGGCATATGAATGTGATACAATACTATCGTATTGTAAGAAATGATGAGGGAACAGTTCCAGAAAAACTTGAGAAGACTTTTATGAACTGATGCAAAGTGATGTAAGCAGAACCAGGAGAACAACTTATATGACAACAGCAACATTGTACAGATAATCAACTGGGAAAGATTTAGAAACTGATCAACAAAATGACCATCATAATTCAAAGGACTCAAGATGAAACATGCTATATAAACCATGAGATAGAGAGCTGCTGGGCTCAAGAGTGCAGACTGAAGGCAACACTTTTTCTTTCTTTCCTTTTTTTGATATGGCTAATGTGGACATTTATGTTGCATGTGTATATATTTGTAATGGATTTTGATTTTCTTGCCTAGCCAATAGGTGGGGGAGGGAGGTAATTTGAAAATGAATATAAAACTGAATTTTAAAAATGCATTTAAAAGTAAACAGGGAGAGTTGAGGTTAAAAAAAAAAACAAAAACAAAACACACAAGCAAAAAAAGAACTACATGAAGTGATATGAAAGATGTTGCTAGTTTTCCTTGGCCCCTCATCATTCGGTAATATATTTTGAGATTTAAAAACCTTTTCTGCCCTCCTTTCAAGCTGGCATCCTATCTCTAATTTCACTTTCTCAGCGAAACGTCTAGGAGGAAGAATCTATATTCACTGCCTTTACTTCCTTATCACCCACTAATTTTCAGTCCTTTTGCAACGTGGCTTTCCACCAGAGCATTCTATTGAAACTTTTCTCAAAGGTCACCTCTTATTTGCAAAATTGCATGGGTTTTTCTTAGTATTCATCCTAAATGACCTTTTTGCAACATTTGATACCTCTGACTCTACCCCTTCCTGGGATATATTCTTCTGGTGCAACTTTTCTCTAAGACACTACCGTGTCTTAGTTCTCCTATCCTAGGTGATGTTCGTATAGTTTATCAACCCAGAATGAGTGTCTCAAGGCTTTGTCCTATTCTTTAATCTCTTTAAACCTCCAGTATTCTGATCCATTGCCATGGGGATAATACAGAAATGCTGAGGAAAACCCTATTGTAAACCTTAAAGAGAAACAAATGTAAACTATGATTAACTACAGGCCAACCGCTCCAACAGTGTCTCCACCTAAACAGTGTGCCTCTCAGTGCTGCCTATTATTGCATTAGCACTCTTGATTCCACCTTAGAAACAAATCATTCTGGCTTTCATTGAATGGCCAACTGAATTTGGCCTCCAACCCAAGCCTCTGTTGCTCACTGTTTAGGTTGTGATGGTTAGGAATGAGTGTTAATAGCAACTGTTTGCTGATGGTTAGGGATGAGTGTCAATAGCAACTGTTTTCTGTTCTGGCCAGAAACTCTGAGGAGCTTCCCCTACCAGATTTATATCTTTGTTTGTCTCAACTCTTACCCAGCCCTCAGTCATCGAATGGATATGGCTTCAGACAAACTCGAGACCTGGAAAAGACCTTAATTTACAAAGGCCAAGGTCATCCACTGCATCCTGGGCCATCACCGGTGGTCTTGACCTTTGTCTTGTCACTGGGCCTCAATGATTGGTGGAGTGAGGCTGACTTTGTGCAGCTCTGCCCCACTCATATCCAATTTACACACAAGTCAAGACATCACCCTCCTGACGTCAGCAGGCTTCTTCAAGAATGAAGGAGGAACGATTCTAACGATACTGAAATTTCAATCCTCTATATCTTTCCTATATCTTTTTCAAATGTATTGCTTACTTCCTCATCTTATTTTTGAAGTTGTTTTTTTGAACCCTGGTATAGGCTTTATCTTTTACCATCCTTACATTTCACACAAGATTTGACCCACAATTCCAGCCTGTCAACATTTTTTTTTTTTGATCCTGGCAGTAAACACGTTTGTTTTGTCTCTTTTGTGAAATGGATAAACATTTCATTCATACCTTTATCCAAGTAATAGATTTTTTAAAAGTTACAGAGCACAAAGTTAGGCAATAAATATTAGGACCCACTATGTGTCAGGCACAAATGCAAGGGATACAAAAACAAAAGATAGTCTCTGTTCTCACTCACAGTCTAATGGGGAAAATAACACGCAAACAACTCGGCATGGATCCCTGATTCACTAGATTATCCGAACCCCCTTTCCGGGTGCCATCAGATTATTTGATGACTACTCTATGGACACCCATAGATGTCCCTCAGGGTTCTGTTCTGGACCCTCTTCTCTTCTCCCTTTCTCTCATCAATTCCCATGGATTTAATTGCCATCTTTATGCTGATGATTGTCAAATTTACCTATCTAGTCCCTACTCTCTACTGACCCCCAATCTCACTCGTCCGGTTGCCTTTCAGACATCTCAAATCCAGTATGTCCAAAACAGAAATCATTACGTTTCCACCAAACTGTCCCCTCCTTCCACCTTCCTCATTACTCTTAAGGGCAACACTATCCTCCCAGTCCCTTAGGCTCATAACCTAGGAGTCATCCTGGATTCCTCACTACCTCTCTCACTCCCACATCCAAGCTCTTGCCAAAGCCTACCATTTTTACCTTTGCAACATCTCCCCAATGAGTGCCTTCTCTCCTCTGACGCTGTGGCCATCCTGGTGCAGGCCCTCATCACCTCACTCCCGGATTACTACACTGGCCTGCTAGTGGGTCTACCTGCCTCAAGTGTCTTCTCACTTCAATTCATCCTCCATTCAGCTACCAAAGTGCCATTCCTAGAGCACAGGTCTGACCATGGCACCCCCCTACTGAATAAACTTCAGTCGCTCCCTATCACCTCCAGGATCAAACACAAAATCCTCTGCTTGGCACTCAAGGCCGTTCATAATCTTGTCCCTTCCTAACTTCCCAGTCTTCTTATTACACCTTATTCCCTGACACACACTCTCTGATTCTGTGACTGGCCTCCTAGCTTTTCCACGAACAAGACACTGCATCTTTTGGCTCCAGGCATTTCCTCCTGCTTGGGAAGGCTCTACTTCTACCTTTCCATCTACCAACCTCGCTGGCTTCCTTTAAGTCCCAATTAAAATGCTACCTTCTACAGGAAGCCTTCCCCCCAACCCCTCTTAATTCTAGTGCCTTCTTATTTATCCTGCACATAGCCTGCTTTGTATATATTTGTTTGCATGTTGTCTCCCCCATTAAATTGTAAGTTCCTTGAAGGCAGGGATTGTCTCTTACCTCTTTGTGTATCCCCAGCACTTAGCATAGTGCCTGGCATATAGTAGGTGCTTAATAAATGTTTTTATTGATTGACTGATTGTCACCGAGTGGAAGAATACGAGAAGGGGAGAAAAGTAAGAAGACTGGAAAGGTAAGAAGGGGCCAGGACCTGCGACACAGAGACTAAGTAGCAGGCTATTCTAATAGTCCAGGCAAGGCATGATAAGGATCTGTACTAGGGTGGTGGCAATGTCAGGGGACAGAAGTTGGTATATATGAGAGTTGTTATGAAGGTAGAATCAACAGGACTTGGCAGGAGCTAGAATACTGAAGGAGGGAGAGATAAATCTGGTTGACTGGGAGGATAGTGGCACCTTCAACAGTAATAGGTTAAGTCTGGAAGGGGGAGGAGGCTTTGGTGGGAAAGATAATAAGCTCAGTTTTAAACATGTTGAGTTTAAGATATATATGAGACATCCAGTTCAAGATGTGCAACAGGCGGTTGGAGATGTGAAACTGGAGGTCAGAAGACAAGATTAGGGCTGGATGAATGGTTTAGCTAATCATCCGCAGAGATGAAAACTGAATCTGATGAGCTGACTGAATGATGAAAGTGATGCTGATGAGACCAGTGAGCAAAATAGTGTAGAGATGAAAAGAGCCTTGGGGGAGCATCGAAAGTTAGCAAATGCAACCTGGATAAAGATTCAATAAAGAAGACTAAGAAGGTGTGGTCAGATAGGCAGGAAAATAAACAGGTCCAAGCAGTATCACAAAAACCCTGTAGAGGAGAGAGTATTAAGGAATAGAGGATGGTCAACAGCATCTCAGCTCTACATATATCTTCAGTCACTTTAACTTTTCTGCATCTGTGTCTCCATCGGCAAAAAGACTGCCAGAATTCCACAGAAAACTTGAATGAATACAAGCCAGGGCAGATGAAAGGTGTAATCCTGCAGAAGGTGGTGAACAGAGCTTGACTTAAGCACAAACCCCTAAACCCAGAAACTGGGGCTGGAGATAGAAGGGAACAAAATAAAACATATTAAACTCAACTGAGAAACAGACAGGGACAGAGAAGGGGGTGAGTTTAAGAAAGAAGGCAGAATAAATTCAATTCAATAAACTTTTA